GGGGAATAATAGAGGTAAATACTATTAGCTGATGGTGATGGTGCCTGGAGGGGATTATCAGCAATGCAATGATTGGCTGAATGTAAAACTGATGATCTACCCTGTAGACCTCCACTCAATTCACAATAAAAGCTTTTTTAAAAACAGAAAAAAAGATGAGTGTCTGGAAGGTACAGTGATTACTTCTGGGTTGTGGGGCTTACAAACAGTCTTCATTTTCTTCAAGTATTTGTAATTTTCACATTTCCCCCAAAAAAGGGCATTTAGAAATTTCTAGGTTAGAGAGGTACAAAACTCATCTTAAAAAGCATGAACATAAGAATAACAGAAAATAGAGAAAAGCTGTGTGAATTAATCTCAGCTAAAGAAACCTGTGGAACTTTTAAGAACCTAGAGCTATGAGGCAGGGGTAGGGATCTTCCAGACCTGTAAAATCAGTTGGTCTGGCCCTGCCAAGGCAACCACAGTTCCAACCATCACATTTGTTGTTGTTAAGTGCTAGTGAGTCGGTTTCGACTCATACTGACAATGTATAAGGGTTTCGAGCTGTGGCTCTTGAGTTTGAACTGCCAACCTTACAGACCAGTGCTTTAGCCCACAGCACCACACCAGGACTCAAGTGAGTTAATTAAATGTTTGGCCAAAAATAGCAGGCGAATTTTTAAGTCAATAATTTTGTGTGGCCCACAAATGATGCTATAAATATCCAAATGACTCTTGGCAGAAAAAAGGTTCCCCACCCATGTAGGATAAGCACTGAACTGCTAACAGAAAGGCTGGCAGGTCAAACCCATTAGCCTATCCTTGGAAACCCTATGGAAGTGGTGTTAGGTGCCATCGAGTTGATTCTGATTCATAGGGACCCTGTATAGGATTTCCAAAGAGTGGGCTGGTGGGTTTGAACTGGCAACCTTGAGGTTAACAGTACAGGGCTTACCCTACAGTGCTACACCAGGCCTCCTGGAAACCCTATACAAGGTCACTTAACAACAATAATATAAACAAAGGTGATACTTTAGACCACTTCTAGCTGAGTTGGTTGATTGGTTATGTGCCATGGAGTCAGTTCTGACTCATAGCTACCCTGTACAGGGTTTCCGAGGTTGTAAATCTTTACCGGAGCAGAATGCCTCATCTTTCTCCTGAGGAACAGCTGGTAGTTTTGAACTGCTGACCTTCAAAACTACAGCGCTACACCAGGCCTCCTGGAAACCCTATTTGTGTTAAGTTAAGGTCACTTAAAACCAATAATATAAACAAAGGTGATACTTTAGAGCACTTCTAGCTGGGTATTTCTCACCTTTTCCTCGCAGCTACAAGATGAGATTCAGGTTCAGACTCTACCCACAAGGGATCTGTAAATAATTTTGTATTAACCAGACACAGTTGTAATTTTCCAGCCTGCAGTTTCCACATGCCCTGTGGATTCCATTGAAAATTCACATGTATTTGGGGCTGGACCAGGGGATATTTGCCAAAGACCTAACAAAAGCTCCAAGGTCCTGAGGCAATGCACTGGCAGAGTCAAGCTTCTGGTGAGTAACGTGGAGAAGTGTGCGCAATGGCTGCCCTTTCCCTCCCCATTGGCCCTGGCCTTAGGCCCCTCTCCCCACACAGAATCACAAGCAACCTTACCTTTTTGGAACATTTTTTAATTAGAAAGTTATGAAATATCATGGGTTCTTTACACAAGTTTGCATTAAAACAATATAATAAAATGTACAGCAATGTTCAAAGAGTTTGTGGAAAAATTGTATTCTTTTCATTACACTTTCCCACAAACTTTATGAAGCCCTCTCTTACCTCTTTTAACCAACCCCATTACCTTTCTGTGAACTAAACCAAAACTCATTTTCCATGGTTTCAATCTCAAGATAATGTAGAGGTGGCAGTGTTAGGAAATTTTTGTGTTTGAATACTTCAAAATGGCTTTGTTCCCTAAAGCTTTGATTTCGGTTAGCCTGAAAACCAAAACTAAAACCAAAAATGATGTTTTGGGAAGGAGGATGGAGTCTCCAAGGTGAACAAGGCACAGCAGGAGGGGCATTTGTGAGTGGGCACAGCAGCCTGGGCCATGAGGGCACGTCCTTCTAATGCCAATGACACGCTCAGGACCATCCTCTGAGGGGATTGTGTATCTCCAGGAGACGACAAAGCGGGCTTGGATAATCAGTCTTCTGTGGGGGACAGAGGCCCATTCTAAGTGGCAATTTTCCTCCAGACACTCATTCAGCCTTGAGGATAAGGCGGCTGGCCTTTGTATCACTCTGCTAGGGACCAGGCTGGGTGGACTCGCCTGGACTAGCATCCTTTTCACCTGCTCACTGCCCCCTGTGCATCCTCCAAAGCAGCCGAGTCTGACGGGTATCCTGTTCTTCCGTCAGGGGAGACCTCCAAATAAACACTGTGGTTGTGGGGCTGTGGGAGCCAATGCCAACAACAGCAACTTTGTCAACCACCATCCTTTCAGGAAGTGGGGGAGGGTGGTGGAGGCAGAGGAGAGGCAAGTGTCTAGGCTGTTAAGTGAAGGCCAGAGGGAAAGGACCAGTTGTTCCAATCCTTAACCCCCCCCTCCCCCCCGGAGAGAGAGGATTTTGAATGGAATCACACTGACTGCAATCTGCTACCCCAGGGTACAGACAGAGGGCACAAGGCAGGGCAAAGAGCCAGCCATACAGGGGCAAGGGATAAAGGGCTGTTCACACAACTCTGTGTTACACCGAGGACAGGTGGATGGTCCTACTGTCCCCAAGTCACACAGCCTCACATACATGCAGGCCCCCGGCCCACCTCCAGTTAAAGGCCTCTCCATTCTGAGTGGGAGACTAGATAACAGCAAGTAAAAAGTGTTCAGAATCTGCCTATTGGTCAGAAGAGTCCTGAAAAGAGGAACAAATGGTGTACAATAAAAAACCGTTGCAGCCCCCCCCCAAAAAAAAATAAACCCACCAAAATACCATCCCTGATGAACTGATTGTGACTCACAACAACACTTGAGGACAGAGGAGAGCTGTGCCCTTGGGATACCAGAGCTGTCAATCTTTACAGAAGCAGATGGTCACATCTTCTCCCAAGGTTGAACCACTGACTTCTCAGCAGCGAGTGCTTAACCCCTGAACCACCACAGCTCCTTGTGGTTTACAGTCAGGGCAAGAATGTATAACATGTTCCTAAGTGCAGGAGAAAGTCTTTGCTTAACCAGAGATGGGTCTCTTTCCAAAATACCAAAACTGACTACTTAATTGTCTCCTGAAATTCCAATCTAGAGCAAAACACAAAACATAGCAAAAGCCACTTCTCAGAACTTCCACAAACTACTCCCTGATGATGTTGTTGACAGTTGGTAGATACAGAATTTGGGTAGAGAAAAACTGGAAAGAACTGTTCTTTGTCTTTGAGGGGGGAAAAAAACACCACCACATAGGCCGGCAAGGGTCCACTGGGCTTATCAGAAATGTCCTAAACATGAGAGATCTTGCAATACAACAGCGAGGTCAAAACGGTCTTATGACGGTGGTGGTGGTTATGTGCCATGGAGTTGGTTCTGACTCATAGGTTTCCGAGGTTATAAATCTTTATGGGAACAGAAAGCCTCATCTTTCTGCCACTGAACAACCAGTAGTTTCAAACTGCTGATTTTGAAGTTAGCAGCCTGATTTCATAGCCACTACGCTACCCGAGCTCCTGGTCTTATGATAAGTGTTCTTTATACAGTTCTCTCTGGGCTGCCTCAACTACTGGGATTGTAGTCACCACCTGGTTCTGAAACACAAATATTTTGATTCTTTCAAACACCCAGAGGAAGATGAGCAGGATACTGACATACTGGACCCAGGCAAACTTTATCATTTCCCAGAATCCTGGTTGATAAGTACAGACAGTTAAGGAGCCACGTAAGGGAAATTTGAAAGTAAATGTTAACTAAGGGTTCCATTCAGACAGGAAATCATAAAAATGTTTCCAATACCCTTAAGAGAAAAGGGATAATAAAAAGATGATTAATACATACATATGGATGATTCTGACCTAGAAGAATTTCTCAGAGCATATCAACAGGAAATGGGAAACACAAAGTCATCTGTGTAGGGCACTGGTGGCTTAGTGGTGAAATTCTCACTTTCCACATGAAAGACTCTGGGCCCAGGCCCCTTAAGCTCAGCCATGACCCGTCTGTCAGTAGAGGCTTGCAACTTGCAGCTTGCTATGATGGTGAGCAGGTTTCAGCAGTGCCCCCAGACTGAGAAGAAAAGCCTGCCAATGGACTTCCAAGAATCAGCCAGTAAAAGCCCTATGTCCAACCCTCAGCACTCCCCCAATGATCATGGGGACTGCACAGGACTGGGCAGTGTTTCATTACACTGTGCATGGGGCCGACTCCAGGACAGCTAACAACATAACACTAGCACTTTCTAATAGAAGGCTTACCACACTTGCTCCTAACTGGGACAACAGAGGATCCCTTTCTTTTGGTGGTGGGGGATGGAGGGAGCTGAGCTATTATTAGTTCATTGAAAGGATATGAGATGACTTCCACAGGGTAGCGGATGACAGCATTGATCACAAACGGGGCCTCAGCGGCCCTTCCAGTCAGCCAGACGGGGTTAGGGTCCATCAGAACGGTGGTGACTGCAATCAAATCATGAGTCGTTAATACATGGATGGCTCCTTTGACAACATATATTCAGTGATGTCTTAGTTATCTGGTGCGGCTGTAACAGGAACACTACACGTGGACGGCTTTAATGAATAGAAAATGATTCTTTTACAGTTTAGGAGGCTTGACGCCTGAATTCAGGGTTCTGGCTATAGCAGAAGCCATTCTCTGTCTGCTCTGGAAGGCCTTTGTCTCTTTGGAACTTGTGTTCCTGGGTGATCATCATATGGCTTGACATCTCTCTCCTCCATTTCTGCTACTTTCACTTGCTTGTTAATCTCTTTTCTATCTCAGAAGTGATTGACACACTCTAATCCTGTCTTATTAACATAAAAGAGACAACCCATTCCTACATGGGATTATAACCACAGGCATGTTGTTGTTGTTTGCCTTCGGTTCAGATTCATAGCGACCTTGTGTAAGGTTTCCTAGAACAGCTGATGGATTTGAACTGCCCATCTTACAGTTACCAGTCTAGTGCTTACTGTACATCACCATACCACGGTTCCAACCACAGGCATGGAGATTCAGATTTACAACACATTTTTGGAAGACACAATTCAATGCATAACAAGTGATATAAAAACATTCATGATCACAGGGGCAAATTCTGCATTTTAAAATGTATCCCAAACATGTGATTCAAAGAGAAAATTGTATCTGTTGAAAAGATGCTCAACATCATTAGCCATCAGATAAATGCAGATTGAAACTACAATGAGATATCACTTTGTTTTCACTAGGATAATTAAGTTGTTTGTTCTTTTGTTTTTAAAGGAAAATAACAAATGTTGGTGATGATGCAGAGAAATTGAAACCCTCATTCATTGCTGGTGGGAATGCAAAATGGCACAACTGTGATAGAAAACAGGTTAGCACTTCCTCAAAATGTTCAAAACAGAAGTACAGGGGACCTTCATGTGTTGATGGGGCACAACTCAACTTATGACCAGTAAATAACATCATGATAACACATAACTTTGCCTCTCATGCTTCGGACATGTTATCAGGAGAGGCCAGTCCCTGGAGGTCATCATGCTTGGTAAAGTGGAGTGTCAGCAAGAAAGAAAACACCTCCAATGAGATGGCTTGGCACAGTGGCACCAGCAGTGGGCTCAGTGTAACAGCAATCGTGAGGATGACGCAGGATTGGGCACTGTTGCATTCTGTTGTGCCTAGGGTTGCTATGACTTGGAATTAACTAGAAGGCATCTAACAACAACAACAATTTGTTCTAGCAATCTCATTCTTAGAAACTTGACAGCAGCAATGTGAATAGACACAAGCATACCAATGTTTACGGCAGCTCTACGAATAATAGCTGAAAGGTGGAAACAACTCCAATGTCTATTGACAACTGAATGGATAAACAAAATGTGGTACAGTAAGTCCTGTGTTAAAAATGTCTGATTTATGGACAATTCTTACTTAAGAATGAACTGCCAGTGAGTCAGTACAATGGTTTGTAAATGTGAAGGCAGGCAGGCGTTACTTTGTGACGTTCATGAAAACCTCCGCATCAGCAGTTTGTTGCTCAAGGAAAGGGAATGTTGTTTACCTTTTGAAGGAAAATTACATTGCTTTTAACACTGTGTTGAGTGTGCAACTTTGTACTTGGCTTACATTTTCCCCATATTTACCTTTGTAACTATGCCTCCAAAGTGCAAATCCAATGCAAGTACTGAAGATGCAACATAAAAGAAAAGGAAAATGATCATGGCGTAAAGAAAGTGGAGACAACAAAAGTGGCCGGAAAGAGGTGCAATGCCATTGGTCATTGGAAAAACAGTAAGCTATAGCTCATCAACAAGCAGGACAGTTCTAAAGGGTAACATGAGAATCATGGAGCAAGTGAAAGGCCTTGCCCCAATGAAAGCTACAATTACTAGCAAGCAATACAGACCTAACTATTGAAATGGAAAAACTACTGATAATTTGACTAACGAATATAATTCAACAAGGAGCTCTGGTAGCGTAGTGGTTACGACTCGGGCTGTGAACCGCAAGGTCAGCAGTTCGAAACTACCAGCTGCTCCGCGGGAGAAAGATGAGGCTTTCTACTCCCGTAAAGATTTACACCCTCGGAAACCCTGTACAGGGTCGCTATGAGTCGGTTCCGACTCCACGGCACATAACAACAACAATATAATTCAACAAACTATGCCAATAAGCCTTACTAATGTAAGAAGTGCGAGAAAAGACTGGAAGCCTTTTCAATGATTTAAAAGCTGAACGTGTGGCGAGTGGAATTGCTTGTCAAGAATTTGTTTTTGCCATTGTACCATGAGCGCTTTCTTGCTTTCAGTGTATCATGCAGTCTCCATTTTCTCTTTAACTTTATCACAGTTCATCCAAGTCGCCTATGTATACACACACACACACACACACACACACTACACACATCTGGGATATGGAAACATTGGAAGTTACATTCACTATACATACTAGTTTAAAAGGAAATATCTCTTTCTTTTAAATCCAAGTAACCGTCTTTATTATATTACACAACTCATTCAAAATTCTGGACTGCATGAAAATTCAGTGTACACAGATTCTGATTTCTATTGGCTCCAATAAGTAATTGGTTTCAAATAGGTCTCAGCAAGATAATTTAATTGAGTTTCAGCAAGATAATTTAAATTAAAAAAAAAATGAGTGCTTATTTGAAGCCAACATTCAAAGCTTTACTTCTGAAAATAATGCCATCCTTAATAATGAAGGGAAATACATAATAAATGATTTTGTGGTGTTAAAAAAAAAAGAAGAAGAAGAAGAAGAATTTGTTTTGAGTCCAACTGGAGTCCTGGAGTGGTGCTGTAGGATAAGCACTTGACTTCAAAGTTGGTTTGAACCACAAGGGTCAGTGGTTCAAACTCACTAGCCACTCCTTAGAAACCTTCTAGAGTTGCTGTGAGTTGGAACCAATTCCATGGCACTTAACAACAAGAAGGTGTAATGGTTTCAAAATGAATTCTGCATGTATCCACAATCAACACTCAGGAAAGCAGCAGTCAAGAAATCAGACAATGTACTGCATTAGGTATAAGGTGAATTCATATAATACTAAGGAGCTCTGGTAGCGTAGTGGTTATGAATTGGGCTGCGAACCTCAAGGTTGGCAGTTGGAAACTACCAGCTGTTCCGTGGGAGAAAGATGAGGCATTCTGCTCCCGTAAAGATTTATAGCCTCGGAAACCCTGTGCAGGGTCACTATGAGTCGGAACCAACTTCACGGTACTTAACAACAACAAAGTGTAAGGTGGACTTCCCTAAAGAAGTCTGTGCTTTTAGATTTACACTGTGTCAAAATGACAGTTTTGGCTTCTAAGGACTCGGATTGTGCGCCTTTTAAATGATCTTTGAGTTTTAAAAACAAAAAGAAGTCTGAGGGGATAAGATCAGGGTTGTAGGGTGGATAGGGTAAGGTCTCCCAATGAAATTCTCACACAACTGCCTTTGCTACTCTCCAAGAATGAGCAGGTGTGTTGTCATGATGGAAAAAAAAAAAGTCAATATAACTGTCTTTTTCTCATCAACACATCACTTTACTATACGTAGTTAAGGGGCAAAAATTGCTACTAGGATTCATACGCACATGGGTTTATTCCAAACAAAACATTTAAGCATGTCTCTGGGACCAGTGGATGGCGGCACACACATTCTCTCAGTGATACATTAGTCTTAGTTTTTGTTATTAAACACTGGTGAATCTGTTCCAACTTATAGCAACTCTGTGTATTATTTCTGAGGTTTGAACCACCGACCTTGTGGTTAGCAGTCCAGTGTTTACCTTACAGCACCACACCAGGATTCCTTCATGTATTTTAGAAACAAAAAGGTTCATTAAAACAGTGGCTGCCAAGGAGATCTGCTGGGCCAGTTAAATTCAAGACAGGTCATGGTGACTGATTTTAGAGGTTGTTGTTGTTGTTGTTGTCAGGTGCCATCGAGTCGGAACCGACTCATAGTGATCCCATGCACAGCAGAATGAAACAATGTCCAATCCTGGGCCAACCTCACTATCGCTGCCACACTTGATGTCATCAATGATGCCACCTGGCTGATCCATCTCGTTGGGGGTCTTCTTCTTTTTTTCTGACCCTCCACCTTACCCAGCATGACATCCTTCTCCAGTGACTGTTCTCTCTGGAAAATGTGTCCAAAGTATGAGAGACGAAGCCTAGCCACCTTGGCCTCCAAGGAGCACTCTGGGTGCACTTCTCCTAAAACAGATCTATTGGTTCTTTTGGCAGCCCATGGCACTTTCAGTATTCTCCTCCAACACCACAACTCAAAGGCATCAATTCTTCCACGATCTTCCTTATTCACTGTCCAGCTTTCGCATCCATATGAGGTTATTGAAAATACCATGGCTTGGTTCAGGTGCACCTTAGTCCTCAAGCTGACATCTCTGCTCTTCAATACTTTAAAAAGTTCCTGTGCAGCAGATTTGCCCAATGCAATACGTCGTCTGATCTCTTGACTGCTGCTTCTGCGAGTGCTGATAGTTGATCCAAGAAGAATGAAGTCCTTGACAACCTCAATCTCTTCTCCATTGATAAGAGGTTACAAAGGGGTAATCTTGATAGATTTTCTTGAAGGACACATGACAATCACAGGGACTTAATTGGAAGACGTTTTAAGAAAATTAAAAATGTATTGATTTTTGACTGAGGCTAAAAAAGAACCGTATGCACCTGTTCCAGTTTACCTACAAATTCCACTTAAAAACTTAGGAATGGATCTGTATATACATTCAGTTTACAGACTACCTCTATTACATACAATGGAGTACTTCTGTTATAAAAATCAGTGAAATCTTTTATTTTTCAGTTTACTCTTTAAGAATCAAAAACAAACCTTTTATGTGAATTGAATGGAGATCTACAGACCAGATCGTCAGTCCCACGTTTGACAAATCGCATACTATGTGTCATTACAATGACTGTAATCCCATCCATGGAGCATCAGT